TGGCTGGCTGGGTCGCTGGCTGTCCCCTGGTGTTCTCCTCTCCTCCTTTTCTTGCTCCTCCCTCTTCTCTCTTAAGTCTAGATTTCTCCTCTGACCTATTCTCTCTGCCTGGCAGACCTGCCTATCCCTCTCTTGCCTAGCTATTGGCTGTTCAGCTCTTTATTAGATCAATCAGGTGTTTTATGCAGATGAAGTAACACAGCTTCACAGAGTTAAACAAATGCAACACATCTTTGCATCATTAAACAAAAATTTCCATAGCATAAATGAATGTAACACATCTTAAACTAATATTCCATAACATAGCCCAGATTGGCCTCCAATTTACAGCAATCCTCCTGCCTTTATTTCCTAAGTGCTGGGATTATAGGCATTATCACCATGCCCAGTTTATGAAGTACCTGGGGACTAAATACAGGGTTAATGCACACTAGCCTGCTCTCTATCAACTGAGCCACATTCCTATCTCTGATGTCACACATATCTTTAAGCAATGAAAGGTTTCTTCCCCAGCTGCTTTCTTCATGAGGTATTTAGCTAGTTGGTTTTTGTTTGTTTGCTGGTTTTGTACTGATTCTAAAACCTATCTTGTTTCAGAAGCACTGATATGTGAAGGATCTTTCTACTTATGTTTGAAGATGTATGATTTCTGAAGTGCTACTGGGAACTCAGTAAGAAAATGATTAACTGAGGGGAGGGAGCAACATTTCATTTGGGTCTGGGAAGTTAAGTGGGAGTTTCCCAGGCAGATGAAGGGCTGAAACTCTTCCAGACCAAGGGAAACATCTATTATGGTGTTTATTCCAAGATACTCTGTTAATATTGCTTCACTCCCATCAACCATGACCAATGCGACTTTCTAAAGTGTCCACAATTTTTGCCATTTAATTTTAATTAAATGGTCTGTTATTTAATAAACTATTCAAATTTATGTTCACTGACAAGATTGTATTTCTAGTATTACATTTTGGAGGACATAGAGAGATATAAACAAACAAGGCCCACACAAATCCAGTAATTTCACGCCCTGGAGAACCCACTGATAATATATTGCTCGAATGCTGCAGCTGCTGCTTCCTTCTTCCTGCTCCTTCTCCTTAAGACAGGGTTACATCATGCAGCTTTGGCTTGTTGAAAACTATATGTATACCAGGCTGACCTGGACGTCATAGATATCTGCCTGCCTCTGCCTCCCAGGTGCTAGAATGAAAAACAAGCACTACCATCCCAGATCACCTTACCCTCCAGACAGGATCTTGAACTCATTATTCTCTTGTCTTAGCCTCCTGAGTTCAGGGATATACAGATAGATGTACATCACTACTCCTGACTTTGTCTTCTCTTCTTTCTTGTTCTCTTCCTCGTCCTTCTCTTTCTCCTTTGTTAGAACATAATCTAAAAATGGATTTGTGTGAGGTTTCTGAGTGCTTGTGAGAAAGCTCTGAGAAAACAAGAGAATTCTTGAGATCTCAGACCATTCATTACAACTGGCTGTGGTTATTTGTTTACATGCCTCTAAGAAAAAAATGTGTTTTTGTTAGGTTGGTGTACCCTTGTGACTGTACATTTTACTCAGGTGACTCCTCTTGTTCCTCAATGTAAAAATTGTCTGATGCTCAGAATAAATTTGGCTATTGCATGAGACCTTAGTTTGCCTCATCTATTGGCTCCATTCTCCCAAATCCCACTGCCTCTATCTACAGTGGTAAACAAGTGGCGCCCAAACAGGGACATCAATGCCTACACACTAATGTTAATAGACTTCATGTACAATACTCCATCCCTCTTAGATAAGCACTCAGAAATCTCACACAACTCCATTCTTCAACCAGACTGGGATTATAGGTATGCATTACTGCCCTTGGATGCTTATATATTTTAAAACAAAAATGATATCATAATTTGTTTGTGAGTTCAGAATTTATCTTCATTTAAACATAATTTCAGAAACTCCAGTGTCTCTTGTTTACCCACCCTCCTTCTAAAGAAATACAGATGCTCTTCTGCTTATGGTGGGATGTCTCAAACAACCCACATAATGAAAACATGGTAAGCTGACAAGTGTACTAACATATCCAGTTTAGTGGCTGTCACAGTTTCACCTTACTCCCAGGCCACTTACATTATTCCACCTCTGGGCATCTACTGACTATCTCTAGCCCAACAAATAAATTACAGTTAAAATGTGAAGTATGGTTTCTATTGAATATGCATCTTTTGTGTCATCACAAAATTAAAAAGAATGTCTTTGTTTATTTACTTGGTTGTTGGAACAAGTACTTACTATGTGGCCCAGGCAGTCCTCAAGTTTGCTATCCTCCTGTCTTAACCCTCCAAATGCTATGATTAATATATATGTACCACCATGTTAGGTAGCAAAAACTTCTGTCTTACTTAGGATTTCTATTGCTGTGAAGACACACCATGACCACTGCAAGTTTTATAAAGGAAAACATTTAATCGGAGTGGCTTATGTTTCAGAGGTTTAATTCATTATTGTCATGGAGGGACATGGCAGCAGGCAGGCAGACATGGGGCTGGAGAAGGAGCTGCGAGTTCTACATCTTAATCCATAGGCAACTGGAAGTTAACTGTGACACTGGGCATAGCTTGAGTATAGGAGACCTCAAAGCCTATCTCCATAGTGACACACTTCCTCCAATAAGGCTATACCTCTTAATTGTGACACTCCCTTTGTGGACCATTTTCTTTCAAACTACCATAGAGCCATTATAAGACCTGGGGCCATTATTTATAATCCCCAGTTTAGCATTCTCTATTCTTAATTGGCATCTAGTCCAAGGGCAGCCCCCCTGTAGGTGTGCAGAGATGTACCAATGAGGTGAAAAGATGAACTGAAACACTTACATGCCATTCAGGGGACGATGAAATTGGCAGCTGAGATGAACTTCAAGGGAGCTGTTGTTGCATAGGAGATACGACTATTAATCAAGGCCATGTCAAGTGAGGAAGAAACAAAAACTGTGAGGTAATAGAAAGGATAGAATGGGGGTTCTCTTGTCTCTGTAGAGGGTAGGGTGCCCTAGAATGGGTTTGATCCCCAAGACAGGGACAGGTACCTTGGAAAGCTGTGTGGTTCTGAAGGCATCATGAGAACTCTCATTGGCTCCTGAAAATCCTAGGGAGAGGGTGTAAATCTCCACTCAAGATGGATGAGATGCAGCAGGTCTCCAAGGTAATCAGCCTGTATCGTTGGAGCAATGTAGGTTAGTGCATGCTCATGCACAGGGCCACACTGCATGGGTGGAGGTGAGATGGTAGCTTTCAAAGAGTCTGAGTCCTTGGTCTCCATCTACTATGTAGGGCCTGGGCATCAAAATCAGGTTCTGAGGCTGGGCAACCACCGCCTTTACTCTCCATATTAAAGAGCCATTAACACAAACTTTGGGTCTGTCTTTCTCTTTGCAAAATCCCCAGACTGTCTTGGAAAACACAATGGAGGCCAGGCCAGGCTGGAGTGGCCAGAAAGAGATTCAACCCAGAGCTCTGTGATCTTGGACCAGGACTGCCCTAACTTTCATAGTTGACACGGCAGGACTAGTCAGTACATTCAAGATGGTCCACACTAACCTAAAGTGTACACCACTGGATCTGGACTGCCTTCCTTTGAACCGAACGAAACATACACACAAAAACCTTCATCCTAATACAGGAAGACACCTGTGTCCTTGTCCCATGTGACCTATTTATTAACCTACAGGTGGTTCTCTGTTTTCCATTAAATAATTGAAGGAATTAAAAAGAAAATCAAACATAGTTTTATAGATTATTTTAAATTCTGTAAGGTACAGAATTAGAAAAAAAAAAAGAACTGTGTTTTGTGTTTTGGAAAGAACAAAAAACCATGCCAGTTATTGTGACAGTCTGGTTGGCAGAAGTGAGAACAGAGATGATGATAATCTAAACAATGTAATTACAGGCGGGGACAAAAACTAGGCACTTCAGAAATAGACGTGAGGCAAGAACCTGGGGTGCGAGTGACTAAATACTTACAGAGAATGAATGGGGCAGGAACAGGATCAATGCTTGACTCGGGAAGTTTTAATGTCTGTGGGAGACAATGCTAAAAGTGCACATTAGCTTGAAATTACCAAGGGGCTTCCAGATACTCTTTATTGTAAGTAGAGACCACCTGAGGTTTATGGTGAGTGTAAGATTACTGGGGATGAGGCTTTTACTTTAATTATAATTATTACCTGGAGGCAGTGTCTTACTCCGTAACACATGCTGGCCTCGAACCCATGGTGATCCTTCTGCCTCAGCTTTCCAAGTGTGGGATGATTACAGGCTTGCACCATGTTGGGCAAGTTACCGAGAAAAACCAAAAAGGGCTGAGGAGAGAATTCGGTTGAATACCGACTCTTTGAAAGCAGATCACAAGAGCAAATAGAGGCGTCCTTGACAGGGTCAAAGATAACCCATAAGAGCTTGCAAAGCGGAGCATGCAGTGTAAATTGTCTGATAAACAGCTCTCCTGCTTCACCTTTATCCCCCAAATTTAAGAGACTGAGCTATCTGCTGGGGAGAATGGAGGCCAGATAGGCACGAGACTATGGTTGACATTCTTTCCTGTCAGTTTGGGTCCTACTTGTGTTCAACAAGAGCAGCCCGTGGCACCTGAAAGGGCTCCTTCAATGAGCCGCTGTGCAGAGGGAGTTAACTCAACTGTCAGGGGAAGGCAGGCTCGCGGCGGAAAAGTCTGGATTTCAAGCTGCGGACACTGGCGGCCTTTCAGTCTGAGCTGCGGCGGATAGAACGACCGCAGAGGAGCGTCGGGACAACGGACCAGGCTGGCCTAGGGACTTGCCTACCGCGCCCCGCCTCCACTCTTCCGTAAGTGAAGGGCGAAGCGGGCAGGGGCGGGTCCTGCAAAAGTGACCACGCCCTTCGTCTCGCTCATGGGAGCGCGGCTGGGCGGGGCCTCTAGGGCGGGGCCTGAGGGGCGGGGTCTGCAGGGTGGGGCCGAAGGCGCGGGGCGGGGCCTCGGGGACAGCGACAGCCCGCGCACAGGGCAGGAGTTGCCGCTGCAGCTGCCGCCCGCGTCTTCAAGGTCTCAGCGCTTCCTCACCGGAGAACGGACTCGGCCGCCATGTCCGCCGCGGAGGAGGTTGATGGGCTGGGTGTGGTCCGGCCGCACTATGGCTGTAAGTGCCGGGGTGCGCAGGCGACGGGCCAGGCTCGGGTTTTCCTGGGGGCTCAGCCGGGCGGGTGCGCGGGGTGGCCTGGGACCGCACGGACCCGGAAGAGCAGCCCAGCTGTGTGGTGGCTGGCAGCAAGGTTGTCGCCGGAGCCCTCTAGAGCTCCGGAGGTGGCGGCTAGGAACCTGGAGGCCTCAACCTTCGCCAGGCGCTGCGGCAGGGGAGCCCCACCCAGCGCCTCCGCCGCTTAGCTCTACTGAGATTGGGGAAGACGGCCTGGGGTGAGGTGGCAGGAGGACTGTGCAGGGCGTGTCCTGGGCACCGGACCCGGGGGTGCTGCTGGGGCGTGGTAGGAAAGTTGCTGTGCTGCCCCGATTGCTGCCTGCGAGGGTGACCCAAGGTGTAGACCCGCGCGGACGCACTAGCTGCGAGGTGCAGTTTTGGGCCAGCCACTTAAGTTTCCTCGGGCTGGGTTCTAACGTCAGCATTTCAAAAGTAAAATTAAAACACACACACACACACACACACACACTCAACCAATCCCCCCCCCCCCACTTCCTCATTTTCTGTGGCCATCCTGCAACATTAGTGAACTAACCAACTGTACGTGAGATAGTAGTTACAAGAGAATCCCTTTGGGTGCATTTAGATTTTGTTTTATGTTCTGGGGAAAGTACATTCTTAAAGGATACTTTAACGTCTCCACAGTTAAGTGTGAGATAGTGTGCCACGTTTGTGAAATTAGAGATGAATAAGACCGTGTAGTGTCTTCAGAAACTGTCGGAGACGATCAGGTGCACAAAGGATTGATAACTTAGATACGGGGTTGGGAATCCAGTCCAGTGGTAGAGTGCTTGCCTAACAAGTGCAAGGCCTTGGGTTCAGTCCTCAGCTCCAGGGGAAAAAGAGGTAATAAGGTGCAATAAAGATACACGATGCATGAACTAACTAGGTATAAAGAGTGATGTGGTGAAGAGAAGGGACTTAGGGAGGCCATGGGAACATAGGTGGTGACTTTTGAACCAAGACATGACTCTGAGAGGGCAGACATAAAGGAAATTCGGTATTGAAGACTATGGGGATACTCTGTGTGTGGAAGAAACTGAACGGAGTGGTAGGGTAGTGGTGGACCTGGAAGGGGAGGAAGGGGAAAAAGAATTTTCCAAAGTAGTCTAGGCTAGAGCTAGAATGGCTTTGGTTGCTCTCCTAGGGGGTTAGGGATTCATTTCACCTTGGGGTGGTTATGGAGGAGGCAGATTGCTTCAATAAACACCCCACAGGCCCTGGAGACAGGTGGATTTAAATGTAGGTCCCTTTATTAGTCCTGGGGCTGAGTTCATGGGGCTTCCATTTCCTCATCTGTCAAATAGTGGTAACCACAGGATTGTTCTAGGCTGTAGTGAGAGAACGTGTGTAAAATGCTTAGTCCCATAGCTGCTGGCTTTAGCTGAGACTAAAGCGGGGAGAGTATGATGCCCTCTAGTTTAGTTCTGACCAATAAGGACAGACCTTAGTTGGCATTTTCTGAGATTTCCATGCATATAAAAAGTGAAATATGATTATATCTATTTCCCATCTCTCCCCTTCAATAATTTATCTGAGACAGGTTCTTCTTTTATAACTCTAGCTGGCCTGAACTTGCTGTTTAAGACAGTCTGACTTTGGAGTCAGAGATCTGCCTGCCTCTGCCTTCCAAGTGCTGAGATTACAGGCTTGTGCCATTACTCCTGGCTCTTTTTCTTTTTTAACATTTTTTTATGTGTATGGGTGGTTTGTTGTCTGTGCACCATGTATGTACCTGATGCCTGTAGAGCCCAGAAGGAAATGTCTGATCCCTTGAAACTGGAGTAAACCTTTATGTGGATGTTGGGAATTGAACCCAGGTCCTTTACAAGGGCGGCCAATCCTCTTAACTGAAGCTGAACCATCTTTCCAGCCTTAAAAAAAAAAAAACAAAAAACAAAGCAACAACAACAAAAAAACCCAACTAGGTCCAGCTATGCTGCTCCTATGTGCATGGGTATCAGATTGTCCATTGGAGCATGGACAGCTTACCAGTTACCCCTCCCATATCATGCATCATGTTTTTATTTTGTATATATGAGTGCCAGTGTGTATATATGTAATGTAAATGTATGTATGGTGTCCTTGGAGGTCAGAAACAGGACATTGGATCCCCTTGAATTAGAATTACAGATGCTTGTGAGCCGCCATGTGGGTGCTAGGAGCCCAGGTCCTCTTCAAGAGCAACAAGTGCCTCTTAATTCTGAATCATCTCTGCAGCCCTTTACCATATATATGTACGTGTGTGTGTGTGTGTGTGTGTGTGTGTGTGTGTGTGTGTGTGTATATATATATATACCCTTAATATACATATTAAGGGTATATGGGTATAGTTGAACCCATATGGGTTTGTTTTTAGGAAGTCGTCTGTAATGCACCCGGCTACTCACATATCCACTAGTTAGCCTGCTTTTCTAGGTGACAGGGCAGCAATTTGATGGCTATGACTCTTGTGTATTGCTGAGGAAAGGTACAGGTCTTGATCTTTACGCTCTTTGCATCTCCTCTTAGCTGTCCTGGATAATGAGAGGCTCACTGCAGAGGAGATGGATGAAAGGAGACGGCAGAACGTGGCTTACGAGTACCTTTGTCATCTGGAAGAAGCAAAGAGGTAAAGGCACACTAATGAAGGGAATTGATATGGGGTGCTTTTTTTAAGATTTGTTTTTATTTATGTGTATGTGTTTGTTTTGGTATCCCTGTGTGGGTGCCTTCGGAGGTTAGGAAAAGGTAATGGATCTTCCTGGAGCTGGGGTTACAGGCACCAGATGTGGGCACTGGGAGCCCAGCCCTGGTCCTCTCCTAGCTGCTGAGCCACCTGTCCAGCCTCCAGATGGTTTTCTTTGTGTGTACTGAATTTTAGGTAAGAATGTTGGAGGTTGGTAGCAGAGTGTTTATTCATGGGAACAAGTGGTCCATAGTGGTTTATCAGGAAACACTGTGTTGAATATTTGTGCATACTGAAGAGATTTCTAGATTTGTGTTATCCAGCTTTTGTGTGAATAGTGGTTATTTTAGGAACTGCCAGCTCTCTGTTAGAAATAACATTTGAAGAGTTATTTATTGTTACATGCATTGGTGCTTTTCTTGCATGTATATCTATCTGTGTGAGGGTGTCAGATCCCCTGGAACTGGTGTGACAGACAGCTGTGAGCTGCCATGTGGGTTCTGGGAGTTGAACTGGGTTCTTCTGAAAGAGAAGCCAGGGCTCTTAACCACAGTGGGCTCTCCAGCCCTGGAAATAACATTTTAAGTTAGGGGTTGATGTTCTTGATCTTAACATTTCCTAATTTTTCACAGTTTTTTGTTTATGTATTTAGCTCCGTTGCCTTGTGATTTGTGGAGTGAATATTAGGTTTGGGAGGCTGATGAGGGATAGTGCTGAGATGCACCTTAGTCGAGTTTGCCCAAGGTCCTGGAAGACACTCAGTGCCAGAAGGAAACCAAAGAACCTTGTCTATCAAGGACAGTGCTATAGGTATAGATCCATCCATTTGGCAGTATTGGGAAACCTTTCATCAATGCATGTGCTCCCATGTGCCCCCCCCCACACTCTGGAGACAGGGTCTTAGGTAGCCCCACACTGACCTCAGACTCATTCTGCTGCTGAGGTTTGACTTTCCTACCACCACCTCCCAAGTGCTGAGATTACAGGCATGCACCACCACACCCATCTCCTCTGCATTCTTTATGAAGTAGATGAACACCTGCTGTTTATCTTTTCCAGATATCTCACGACCTTGTGATCTTAATTTTAGGGTGTCAATTTGTTATCAGTAGTTCCTTTTGTTCTGTTGCTTATATTCCTTTGCAAGATTCCAGAGAAGATAAATACAATTATAGATGGTGTATGGTGAGGAATAATGAAGGATACTTGTCATCCAAGACTACTAAAAATCAAGAATGTTTTAAATGGGGCCGAGAAGACAAGAGTGAAGATTTGACTTTGTGTGTTTTTAAAAATAATTCTAAGAGTGTTAAAAGCAATCCAGGAAAGTCGATAGTATTTACAACAAGCATCCTTGAATCCCAGAACTCTAAACCTTTCAGAGCTTCCTCTTTCTCTAAAAGATGACAAAAAACAGCCTCAGTTAGGGTCCCCTCCTTGGAGTCTTTAAGATTTACTTATTATTATTATTTTTTTTTTAATTTCATTTTATATTCCAACCACACTTATCTTTTCCACCCCTCCTCCAGCTCCCTCTTCCCTCTTCCCCAGCCCACCCCCACCCCCCATCCACTCATCTCAGTGGGGTAAGGGCTCCCGTGGGGAGTCACATTAAGTTGAGGCAGGACCAAGTCCCTCACTCCTGCATTAAGACTGAGCATGGCATCCTACCATAGGGAATGGACCCAACAAGGTAGCTCATGCACCAGGGATATATCCTGGTCCTACTGCCAAGGCCCCTCAGATAGTCCAAGCTTCACAACTGTCTCCCATATATGGAGGGGCTAGTTACTTTTTATTTTTAATCACGTGAGCACTTACCCATGGATCCCAGAGGCATCAGATTCCCTGGAACTGGAGTGGAAGGAGATTGACTCACCTGGCATGGGTGTTAGGAACTGACCCGGGTTCTTAAATTCAGAGCCATCTATCCTGTCCCCTATCGTGTCTTCTTGAGTCTTGGCTGCTTCTCCACTTTTTAGAAAGTCAGAGACGGATGTTAGTGATAATTTAGGTGAGGATTAACAATAATAACACTAGTTTTTGTTTGTTTGCTTTGTTTTTTTTTTTTTTTGTTTTGTTTTTTTGTTTTTGAGTCAGGGTTTCTCCTTGTAGCCCTTGCTGTCCTGGAACTTGCTCTGTAGATCAGGCTGGTCTCAAACTCAGAGATCCTCCTGCCTCTGCCTGACACTAGTCTTCAGAATGGAAATTTATTATGATAGTTTTGATAGTGCCAGGGGGTGAAGCATAGAGAGCATTTGGCACACCACTGAGCTTCTTTCCCAACTTAATGGTAAACAAAAGTGTGGATAGCAAGAGATGAGATACTGTGAGAAAGGGAATATTTTCTCTTAGGAAGTCTGTAAGGAGCTGGGTGGTGGTGGCACACACCTTTAGTTCCAGCACTCAGGAGGCAGAGGCAGGCAGATCTCTGTGAGTTTGAGGCCAGCCTGGTCTACAGAGCAAGTTCTAGGACAAGCCCCAAGGCTACACAGAGAAACCCTGTCTAGAAAAAAAAAAAAAAAAAAAAAAAAAAAAAAAGTGTGTAAGAGGATGAAGACCCTAAGTCTTCTGCCACTTAAATTTCGAACTTCTTGTTGTAGAAGGTCAAGGGATTGCCATTGGGACTCTGTTAAGGTGTCCTAAGACACCAGTTTACTAATTTCCCTTTCCTACCAGTAGCTCTTCTGCTGGATTTCTATGGTGATAGCACCATTTTACAGTGTGACACTGACTACATTTTACATTTCATTTATAGTATTTCAGAGCATCTTGCCAATATCTATTGTGATAATCAATCACCATGCCATTTAGTCTAGCTCACAGTTTTATTTTTCCCAAAGCACTAGGGATTTGGGCCGTGTGCTTGCTAAATGCACTCCCTACCCCTGGGCTACATCCCTAGCACAAGGTCAACTTCTGGCCAAAGCAGCCCTCTGATTTTAGTGAGGAAACTGAGGCCTGAGGTTTCTTAGTCTACCTGTAGGTTCTTTTTTAGGGGTGGGGGCCCGGGAACCTAGGCTGGCCTGGGGCTCATGTAGTTGAAGATGACTGAAACCATGTGCTCCATGCCATAGTTGTCTGCCACCACACCTGGCTTCTCATAGTTTCTTGGTCAAGGAATGTTCCTTATTTGTTCAGTGGTCGTTAACCGGGTATGTGGTGTGTGCATTAGAATCTCCTGGGAGAGTTTTGAATGCAGATAATCTGGGTTTTACTGTTGAGCAGTCAGAAAGTGTCCTGCTGCTGAGCTACACCCCAGCTCCATACCCAAATATTTTAAATGCCTCTAGTGACTTAGCTGGTCATTCTCACCCCAGTTGAGAGGTAAGATTTCCATACTTTTAACACATTTAAACATTTTGAATGTTTTTGAGATCATAACCTCTTAGGGAGTTAATGATGTTCTTAACTTCCTTTCCAAGTGCAGCACTGGTAACATTTTATTTGCAGTATTTCAGAGCCTGTACCTTCCTACAGGAGCGGTCTCCAGTATAGAAAAGCAGCCCCTTAATCTAACCCATTGAGAGCTATTAACCCCTGAAGAGTTTTTCAAGCCTAGGCCATGGAGACATTTGTGATTTTTTTTTTTTTTTGTTTTTAAACCTTTGGACAGAATGGTTGTAGTACATCATCTTGCCATACCCTGGCATTGTGGAAATGCTGCCTGTTTTTCCTAGGGAGTGAATGGTATCAAATTTGGATTCAGTATTAGTCCATCTGCCCCCCACCTCCAAAGCCAACAACAACCTCTGATTAGAAAATCAGCTATGGAAGTGTCAAAATTGCAACTAGAGAGAGCCAAGAAACCTGGGGATGTTATCGTAGGACCAGTCACTTAATGCAATGCCTGCCAGCCAATCATCACTAGTCAGGACTTCCTCTCCCTGTCCTGTTGCCTCACCTGGGCAGCAAGGCTGTGTCTGCATGCTCCTAGGCTCATCTTCCCCTCTAGCAAAAGCCCAGTTGGCCTTTTTTGGGTTGCGCTGGTCCTATTTCCTCTCAAGTTGGAGGATCCCCAAGGTCTGGGGTTTATATCAACTAGGAGGCCAGGAATAAAGATGAGAGATCCAGGGGAGAAAGTCTCCTTCCTCACATCTATTTATAACTCTTCTGTTCCTGCCCAGCACTCCACCTTTTAGTACAGAGGAACCATTGTGTGCCCCGGGCTCTTTCTTTCTCCTGGACCTTTAACAGGGTTTGTTCCTAGGGAAATGGAGGAGTGTAGAGAGAGATTGGATGTGTGGAGGACTGTTGTGCTGTCTGTGTCTCTGTGTGTAGAGAGTTTAGAGGATGCTGTGGGAACTGATTTGAGTTCATAAGTGTGGATTTCAGAAAAGTATGTCCTGGAAATGGTTGAGAAATACAACGCAGAGATTTCTGCTTTATAGAAAAATGGCTTCAGTATGGAAGTTAAGCTGATGTTCTAATAAAATTTTAGAATGCTAAGGGCTATATAGCAGAGCAAAGACTAACAAAGGCCTGAATTTATTTTAGCTAAGGAGTAATTGAGTGAGAGAAGAATGTCATTTCACCCATGTGAAGGAGGTGACAATGACATATAAGGTATGTAGTTACTCAGGGCTTGAGACAAGAGAATTTAACAGAGAAGAAGAATCAGAAGGTGGCTTGGGTTAAAAACAAAAACAAAAACAAAAAAAAAAAAAAAAAAGAAGAAGAAAAGGAACCATGAAAGAACATATTAGGTAGGTCAGAGGAGTGGAGAGGGTGTGGTGAGTCTGCAAGTAAAGGAAAATTCAGGTAGGTTAAAGGTCACAAAAGACAGTTCCAGTATTATCTCAGCTAATGTATTTAGTCTTTCAGGGACTTTTTGGTGTATCCTCTTGAGTCTTCCCTGGGCCACCTTCTTCCTGAGTGCTGCCCACACACCAGCTTAAGGGTGTAGACACTCCCCCGACTACCTTTGTAGAAGGGCAAGTACA